TTTTCCTTAAATTATGAATTTACAATTCTTGCTAGTCAATTGAAAAATACAATAAGAAAGGATAACCTCGCTAATTATCGGTGTTAATATGGGGAAAAAGTAGGGATATTCAAGAATAAACAATTTTATTTGGGAACATTCCTCTGATGGATTCCTTTGGAACTTCTATAGTACACGGATTATATAGAATTTGCTGTCTTGTACCGATGGATCACTTTTAAGTAACGGGGAAGAGGACCAAGACGTGCATAGAGTCCTCAGTGTTCAACCTCCCAAGATTCAGCTACAGTGCTGGACAATAGACTTCTTCGACTTGCACAAGCTTCAGAAGGACATTAGAATAACCCTTCATTGACTTTAATATACTGAGATATGATAGTGATATGGAGAAAAACAAGTGTGAAGCTGCCATCTTGCTGAAATATTTGTGTTTTAGAACTCAAACCAAAGTGGCTAATTATTGCCATAACAGTAAAAGAATGGGTCATTTATAAAATACAATTTTCCAGAGAACACTCAATGGACCATTCCCACCAAATACTCTACTTGCTCTGATGGAAGACTGAATTGACAAGTTCACTTCAATTTGCCAATACATCAACAACAACAACTACCCAGTGAAATCCCACAAAGTGGGGTCTGGGAAGGGTAATGTGTACGCAGACCTTACCCCTACCCCGATAGGGCAGAGAGGCTGTTGCCAATGCATCGTTCCTTTCAATAGAACCAGTAAATTGATTATTTCCTTTTTGTTATTTTGAATTTTAAGCCTAACTCAACAAGTGTTCTGAAGCAACTATTTAAAAAAAAACGTTTTAATATTGTGAAATCACAACAAATTATCATGTTAAAGACATACAGAGCTGAAACAGTCATTCTTTAAAGGCGGGCCTCAAAAAAACAGACTGTAGTGATGTTTATACTGAGCACTTGACTCACCGTTTCTATTTTAATTCTCCCTCTAGTTGATTTTTTGTGTGGAAATTTTCCTTACGTGGTTGTTAGTTGTGTTTCTTTGCATGCTAGTTTATGTAGATTATAATTCTCATTTGTCTGTGGTCTATACTCTGGCTTCAACAGCACTTTAATAAGTGTAACTATTGTAGTTTTCTTATCGTCTGCTAACATCTCTAAAAGAGAGCTAATTTGCAGCTTCAAGAGTACAAAATTTCTTAGTGGTTATTAAAGTTTAAGATTTTCCAGGTTCTCATATTCCAACTACCTCTTCTCCAAGATCTGCATCTAAAAAGCTTGTCTCCCCCTTTCGGTGCCTATCCTTGAAAAAAATGGATGAATCTCAAGATGAAACTGAGCACTTGCACCAGCCTGTGGCCGAGCTTTATCAAGATCTTGAAACCGCTTATGTAGCTCAGTTGTGCTTGACCTGGGAAGTTCTTCACTGTCAACACACACAATTGAGTCAGAAAATCTCTTGCCAACCTGAGAGTCCAATTTCCTACAATCACAGCGCCCAGCAATTTCAGCAGTTCTTGGTCTTGTTACAACGGTTTATTGAAAATGAACCTTTTGAACCTGGTATGAGGCCTGAAATTTATGCTCGCATGAGAAAAACATTGCCAATGCTACTTCAGGTTCCTAAAGTCCAAGGTAGTACTGATATCTGATAATGTTTGATTTCCTATTAATGTTTTTATTTGATTTTCCTAATGGTAAAAGACATTTTTTTTCTTTTAGTGCGAAAGACTTGGACTTGTTAAAAATATGCATTTTGCAAAAGTTTGCGTCATATTTGAAGTTTAATGCATATTGATCTATTGGAGTTTGTAAAGTTGATTTCCTCTTGATCTGGCTAACAAATCTAATCTCTCATATTTAGGTTCTGATCAACAGAAATTGGAAGATGATGAGTTGCCAGTTCTTGCTCCAGATCTACTTGAAGTGATTGAAAGCTCAATCTTCACTTTTCGTTTATTTTTGAAGATGGACAAGAAGTCTGGCAGTGTACGCAATCTTTTCGGAAGCCAGAACCAGATGTCAACGCCCCTTCATCAGATTCAATGTTCTCTTGAAAAGGTGAGGCATTGGTTTGATATTCTCTGTTTGACTATCCTATGCTCTGTACCTTACTTTTGTCACTGTACATTTTATGAGGAAATATTGTTAATGTTTGTGTTAGAAGAATTTCAAGATATTTTCCTTTTAATACTCCAGAAAATAAAGGAAATATAGAAAATAAGTGTGATTGCTTAAAATGGTTGAGACCCACTCAGAAAAATATCCAAATTGGAGCAGATTTAGGGAAGGCTTTGAACTTGTTTCCGACATTGTACACTTGAGATGAAAAGATGGGTAACACCATCAGTCAATGAGGTTTTGCATTCGAATCTGTCTAGTCAAATTTCTCGACTTAATTCTCTCTCTTCCCATCTCTCTTACCTGTGGATTCTTTACATATTTTGCGCAAGGAACTGAAGCAGCAGTTTCTGGGATACGGCATGTGATTACGTCTCTCAAATTGTGATGAAGAGGAAGAACAAAGTCCATATCATCAATTATATATATATTTTTTCTGTCAGAAGCCTTTTCTTGACTCTTTGCTGTTGTATTCATTCTAGTTCAGCTCTTGCGAAGAGGTCAAGAGGAAAGTTTTTCTTGCTTTTCTCCTAACAGAATTTCTGAACCATAAATTAATATGAAAGTAAAAGGTTATCTTCTGAAAGATTGCTAATTAATAAAACAGGAGGATGTCTTGGGCCACAAACCCATAGTTTCTTTACAGTGTCAGAAGTCTGGCTTGGAAAATCCTACGTTTCCTCTGATTCCTATCTATTGAATGTTGAACTGATATCGTTAAATTGATATCCATTTTCTATTTTCACTAGTAGGTTATAATGTATTTTTGCTCATTCACTCTGTTTTGGCTAGCAAGGGCTACTTTGAGACAATTGGATGTTGCTTTGTCGATCTTCTTTGTGAATAACTTCTGAGTCTCTCAAATGCAGAAAAAGGTGAAACTGAAGGAACTAAGGAAGAGAAAGAAAAACTTGAAGAAGAAATCATGGCCTACCGTGCCAGGGGATGTGGACTTGTTGCTTGGTCTAATTGATGTTAAAGTCATGAATAGGGTCCTAAGAATGGAAAGAATTAGTAAGGAGCAGTTATTCTGGTGTGAAGAAAAGATGAAGAAGCTAGATATAAATGACGGCAAGCTGCAGAGAGACCCCTCTATCATCTTATTTCCTTGTTAGCAGGCGATCAGGAACACTCTCGAGTTGCTAGAAAAACCACTATCCTCTTTTTTTCCTCTGTATTGGCTGTATAATAGGGTGGACATTCTTCATCAACTGCTTAGTGATGGTGGTTTTCTAGTTGAAAAGACATTAAGCAATGCGTTCCACGTGGTCTAATAGCTCCTTCGCCCCTCCCCCAAAGCATGATGATAGTTTTGCTGTTGCTTTTTAACCAAACCTAGGAAAGAAACCTGGCATTTGCTTGTCTGTGGTGCCAACATTCTAAGTCTATCCATGGTCAGTATATATAATATCGTTGATCAGTTGGCTGAGGGTGAGGGGGCTGCGTTAGTCTCTGGGCGAAACCTGTAGTGGTTAAGTTTCGTGTGGGTAAATATTTGTGTCGCCTAACAATTTTGGGCTTTCCTAATTTTTCTAATGCCAATACTTGTGTTCGTTTCTTGCAAGTCTTATGATTATGCCAATTACAACCCTCAATTCTTCAACATCAGATAATCTATGAATATTTTGTCATTGTGGGACCGATATTTTAATTTTATCGTTTCAAAGCCTGTTTCTTCACATGGAAACTAAAAAAACCTAATCCATCTTTCCTTTTGGCTCGGTTAAAAATAAAAATGAAAAAGAGTAAAAATGGAATTATAATAATTCCGCAATAAGTAAACTAGAATAGTTTTAGATCTTGAGAAAAGAAGACAAGTATTCAACAACAATATCCAGTGTAATTTTACAAGTAGGGTTTACAAGTGGGGTCTAAGAAGGATAATTTGTAGCAGATCTTACCCATCTTACCCCTACCTTGTCTGAGCTAGAGATAATTTGTACGCAGATCTTACCCATCTTACCCCTACCTTGTCTGAGCTAGAGATTGTTCCCGATAGACTCTCAGTTCAAAGAAAAACAAAGCAAGTTTGAGAAAAAAATAATAATGAAGAGGCTATGTTGGAAATACTTTAGAAAAAAAAAATGACAACAAAATAATAAGATAGCCGGAGCAAAGGAAATAACAGCTAATATAGAAATTTACATAATAGGATAATACAAGAATAATACTAATGCGCCTAATAGGTAGAAAGGTATTGGCAATATAAAAACAGAGCGGGGTAAAAATTAGGGTGTTCGTCGGTTGATACGGTATGATATTTAGACATTCCGGTTTGGTATTTTCGGTAATCGGTTTCTTAGAATGCTATACCAATACCGTACCTAATTTAATTCGGTATGGTTCGATTTTCTCCTTTCGGTTTCGATTTATTCGGTTCGGTAACTTCGGTTGAATACTAACTAGTGCATAGAGTCATAGACTGTAATATTTTTAATTAAAGTACTTGAAAGTACAAAACTAAAAACGTTTATTGACAAAATTTTCGTTCAAAACTAGCCAATATCAACCCAGAGAGAGAAAACTGTACATAAAAGGAATAAATTTGATCATTAGAAATGTCTTGTTACTTGCTTACAGTTAATTGATGAACTTAAAAAATAAAGGAAAGTAAAATTTTAGATTTTTATACTTATGTTATAATTAATAATGTGGATTATGTAATATAATATATATTTCGGTACGGGATCGATATTTCATTCTAAAATACCGAATACCAAAATATCGAATATCAAACACTAAAATTTTCGATTTCGATAGGATAATTTGGTATTTACCAAATTATGCACCGCCCTCCAATAATACCAAATTATGCACCGCCCTAGTAAAAACGGAAAGGACATGTTGGCTCCTGATTTCGTAACGACTTTCTATGGAAACGAGTAGAACATTTTATAGTCCACCAACATTTTTGTAGGGGTATAAATCCATATATTGACAGTTTTTTCCTGAAGAAGGTTCTGTTTGAATACAACACTTGGAATAAAGTAGTCGCAACCGTAATACAGGAGTTAGTTTTGAAGAATTAAAAAAAAAAGAAGCGTTCGGAATTTGACCCATTCAAATAAATCGTCCATATTGGCTAACGAAGAATAAGCGCGTACGCCATGGAAATGGAATTGAACGCTAACGAGGAGGTTACTACAGCAAGGAATGAGAACCCTAGTAAGAAGAAGGAAGTGGCGGCTCCGGTGCCCTTCATACTAATAATCTGCGGCAGTCTCGTTTACTACCACTGTGCTTATCGGAATTCCAGTATCGTCTCTCTCATCTCCGACGTCTTTATTGTACTCCTTTGCTCTCTTGCAATTCTCGGCCTCCTATTTCGCCAGATGAACATCTCTGTTCCTGTGGATCCGATAGAGTGGCAGATCTCTCAGGACACTGCAAACTGCGTCTTCGCCTGCCTCGCTAATACTATCGGCGCCGCTGAGTCTGTTCTCCGTGTTGCTGCTACGGGCCATGATAAGCGCTTGTTCCTTAAGGTTCCACACTGCTTCGCCTGTTTTTTCTGATAGTATATATTTATGCTTCTCGTCTACTTGTTAGTTTTTAAGATTATTATCATAGAATATAAATTTATGCTCGTGACGAAAGTTATAGGTTCAGCCAGATATAATTAATGTAGAAAATGGATTGGTGTAATGTTATTAATGATCCTACATACCTTTCCAGGTTGTGGTTATTCTTTATGTGCTATCAGTTTTGGGAAGGATAGCGTCAGGTGTTACCATTGCATATGCCGGTAAAGTCAAGTCTTCTCCTATTTCCTCTACTTCTATTATACAGTTTCCCTCACAGTATGCGAAAAACTTGTGTGATCGATGGCGAGTTGTAGTAGGAGAGTGTGTACTCTTTTTCCCTGATCTAATGTTGAAAATATCAGTAATTTGTTCTAATTTGGTACTGTTATATTACTCTTTATGCAGGACTCTGCTTTCTTTGCGTTTACATGCTTGCCAAGAAATCGCAACTGATCGGCGCATGTTTGTCGAGTCAGCCAAGGAGAAGGGAGTGCACAAACACAGCTCAGGGCGAGTAGCTGAGTGTATTTTTGCAAAATATGAATTTTCTGTGTAGCTTTGTGATTTCCTCACAGGTAACAAGGATAAGTGATATAATCTGGTAACAATGCTTTTTAGTTGGCAAATATTTAGCTTTTACTTAGATCATACTTGATGCTGAAGGAACAAGAGAGCTTCTGTAAATTCACCAAGGACATTGATGAAAATTGTTTGTATTTAACATCTTGAATAATACTAGTTAACAACTGCTGCATTCTTGTGTTGATCCTAGAATTTTGAACAAGACAAATCCATTCTTAAGAATTGATTGCTCCAACGAGATTCTTTGAAGAGATTTCACGAGAACCTTTGGTTCCTTCTCCTTAATTTTTCTTTCACATTTGAAGCAGAAAATTACAGACTTTTCCCTCTTGCATCACCGCAAAAAGCAGTTGAAAAAGATTGAAGATTCTAGGTCTGAACTTACACAGAAAATTAAGCAGTTTGCCCCTTGTACTGCGAACCCGCAACATAACATGACGCAGAGGGCGTATTAAGTTAGCCACAATTACATGCCTGTCAGTTCAAGATAAGAGACTGCTATTGAAGGGATGTGCCATGACAAACCGATCATTGAACTAAACTTCAAAAGAATTATACGAAATCAAGAATAGTATACTGTAAAGCGGTTTGGATATTCAAAGTACGCACCTCACGTACAAGAGTCTTCGGTCCTTTGATGGGTAAATCCACTATGCTCTTAACACTATATTTTCGTAAAGGAGAAGACGATATAAGCAAAAAATGTTGCCACTTTTTTGTATGTCTGAATAGATTGGGAATTTGTTTTTTTGGAGGGGAAGGGGGGGTCGGGGGGATTGGTCCCTATTCTAGAGTGTCCCTGGTTTGCCTCATCCTTGTAACGTAAAGAAACATAAGTACACTTATCCTCTTCCCCACTTGGTAAGGAAGTGTGGCTCCTTCACTTTTGGCCGAGAACTGGTTTTCTCAGTATCAGTAGTCATCATCTATCCGCCGAGATGCACTTAGATCCTCTCTCTGGCTCAAGCTCGATCTTTGCACTAAACGGACTAGTGCCTGCACCACCTCAGACATGTGTGGTCGGAATTCTGGCTCCGACTGACAACATTAGTCATCACAAATTAATCAAAATCTTTTTTCTTTTTTGGGCTATATATTGGTTATAACTAACTAGAAAGATACTAGGTTGAACTCTCTCAATTAAAGAAACTAACCTGCACACACAAAGCAGTAACATCGGCAAATCGAGAGAGGGATTTAGGAGGATAAAGTCCACGCAGAGCAGGATCAGCCATTTTTTCCAAGGCATCTAGATCATGTAGTTGGGGCGATGCCCATTGGACCAGATACTGCTCTAATCTTGGCTTTGAACTGGAAAATCGATCTGGAATAGGTTAGATAAATGTTTTGATGGATAACCATAAAGCTAACACATGCAAGGGATATCATGCACCTGTCAAAAGGCTTTCGCCCTGTCAATAATTCCAACATGACAACTCCGAAGCTGTAAACATCACTCTTCAAAGTATAAGCAGAAGGTTTTGTGCATTCTGGAGCAGTGTATCCAGCATCCAAGTTTCTACTTGCACGCTGAAATTACAAAAGTACAAGAAACGAAAAAGTTAAATAACATTATTTAAGCATGATGTTTCTCTAGTAGACACCAAAACACCAAGTGAAATATCGAAAGCATAAGTTAGCAAACGTGGACCAATCCGGATTAAGCCTAGGTACTGAGAGCATCAGTATGGCATTTCAATAGACTACATATAATGTGATTTAAAAAGTTACATGACCCGCTTTTCTTTTATGAAAGAACTTTATCCTTTTCCTGTTTCAAGTGGTGACATTTGCAAGTTAGCAGGTTCCTGTTTCAAAGGTCTATTATCACATACCTCATGAAACATTTCCAAGCCACACTCACAGAGACGAGGATTCAGTTCAGCGTCTAGCAAGATGTTCGAAGTTTTTATATTCCTGTGGAGACAGGATGGAGAACAAACCTCATGCAGGTACCTATACACAAATTAAAATCATGTCATAGGATCAATTAGGAGAACCACATTTTATCAGGGTTTAATTCTAAATTTGAGTTAGTGTATTAACATGCCACATTTAGGTTTTAATAGTTAAATCTAAATTTTGATGTGATGTACTTAATGAACAGTCAATCATGCAGTTTTTGGTCAGTTTATACACAACTAAAAATCCTTAATTACCAGCTTGTGTTATAACTGTAACTGAAATATGAGAAGAGAATGGTTCAGAAAGTGTTTCATATAAATCAAGAGCATGTCGTACTTGATGGATTATCAGTTACAGTGGAAACCTTAAATATTTTTTTTGTTTTTTGATTTGCACCGGGTGTCCGAGTCTCTAAGAGTCCCGACTAATCCCGGGGGTGCACAAGCTCTCGGCAAGGAGTTTCCCGCAAGTGCACCACGGTTAATTCAGGTTTTACCCAGTCCGATGGCCCTCAGAAATTATTTGCACCCAGTGGGTGGAAACCTTAAATTGTCAGTCAACATTAAAGACATTGCAGTTAATCTGTGCCAATCATACTGATTACCAACACCAGCATTAACGGAACCGCAAGAGAAACAACAGAAAGAGTTTGACTTACTCAATAGCACGAGCGGCACCTAGAGTGATTCTGACTCTTGTATTCCATGTAAGCGGTTTGCTGAAGTCATCTGACACATGTAGGAATTCATGAAGTGAACCATTCCTAAAATACTCATAGATTAACATATTCTGTCCCTGTTCTGAACAATAACCAAGCACTTCAGCAATATTTGGGTGGTGAAGCTTGGAAACTTTGGAAGCAATGTCTGCCAATTCTGTGCACTGCCCATCTTGGAAAAAAGAGGAGTCTATTTTCTTTACCGCCAGAACCTGATAAATCAAAAGTAAGGTTTCTCCCTTATGTTATCATACAGTATAAATCTAAATGAATACTTCTAGACTATATAAACATCAGCTGAACCTCCCTAGAAATGGTACCCAAGCAATAAGTAGCACCAGAAGTATTTTGCAGGTTAAAGTATTATGAAGCATGAGACATCTACATTACACTTTCACATTGCAATTATCTGCTACAAGGAATAGAAAAGCTAGATAACCTGTCTCTCGAGGGACGTAGAAATAGTAAGCTGACAAAAGAAGAAAAAAGCAACTAATGAAATTGCAATGTTAAATGGAGTAGTGCTTAAAGGTTCCAAAAACAGAAATCCAGTATGTAAAATTCCCATGCTTGATACAAGAAATTCAAAAAGTAATTTGATGACAGGAAGTGACCTCTCATCCATCTATCATTATAGAATAATTTCTGCGGTCAACAATTATGCTTCCAGTACCTCTAAGCATATTCCCGAACAAACTTTATCATGCAAGTAATCTACTAAAGGTCTGGAAGAAATTCGTTCTTTTTGAAACAGAACCTCTCTATCGTGTTATGAGGAAACAAAGAATAGGTCAAATGTTAGCTACAGAAAGGTTATTTCTCAAACCAGGAATTTTAAGTCAGTTTACTACGGTTAACATGTAGCAGAACACGATCATCTATGTAATGATTGATAAGGACGACGTAGCGGGTTCAAGCATTATGCACTCACAATAAATGGAAGTCAATTTACTATAGCTCCCATGCATCAGTAGAAGATCATTTGTGTGATTAGCCATAAGGACTACCATAAGGGTTTCAAGAATTATAAAGACAAGGGATTACGTCTTTGTTTCAATTTTTTAAAAGGAGTCTTGAGACAGAATTTTCACTTGAAATGACCATAGAGAACAATTTTTTTGAATGTCAAAGCTGGGTGAAAAAGAATGTACATGATGTTATGTATTTCATCAGTATGAGCCCTTCAAAGCTGAGAGAAAAGCTTAAATATTACTCCCTTCGTTTCAATTTAAATGATACACTTTCCTTATTAGTCCGTTCCAAAAAAATGACACATTCTATAATTGAAAACAATTTAACTTTAAGCTTTTTATATTACCAGTTTTACCCTTAATGAGAAGCTTTTATAGACACATAAAAGTCATGGCCCCACAAAGCATTTGCCCCTTGAGTTTTTAGGACCACATGTTTCAAAAGTCTACTTTTTTTCTTAAACTTTGTGCCAAGTTAAACTACATCATCTAAATTGAAACTGAGGGAGTACTATAGATCTTCAACTACTCATGAATTGGTCATGTTCTCAACAGAATTAGCTCTCGACTAATCTATGTATCCTATCTCTCATGATGTATAATGGAGGATACATGACCAATGCATGAACCAATTGCCAACAAATATACCATAAAACTAAGCAGTATTGTAAATCAGGTCAAGCTTACCCTGCCATCTGGATATTTTGCCCTGTATACTCGACCAATTGATCCCTCACCAAGAAGGCGAGAACTTGCAAAGTTACCAGTTGCATTCTGCAAATCAGCTAACGGATAGTAGGCTAAGTGCACTGAACTGCTTCTCTTCACACTCAGAGGATTTGCAAACTCTTTATCATTGAACGACTTGAGATGATTTGAAGTTGGAGGATTTGTTAACTCCTTCTCATTAAAAGACTTGCGTCGCTCTGAAGTAAGACGCTTAAGAACCATCGAAGAAGAGGTTTGCAAATGTTTTTCTGTAGCGGATGAAGAATCTGAGGAGATAATTTCTGTCAGAAGCAGAAAATAATACACGTGGACCAACAAGAGAGGTTTCTCTAGTGGTGAGAGCGCTCCACTTTCAACCAAGAGGTTTCGAGTTCGCATCAAGGAGGGAAAGTGGGCATAAGTCTCTATTGGCCCCTGGGAAGAGGGATGAGGAGGGGAGGGGAGGGTTAAATCAAATAAAAAAAATATTTCCTCTTTAAAAAACACCCCAAAAAAAGGAGCATGAGTTCAATGGAATTCTTTTGCTCTCCATTTGCATTCTCTCTCTCTCTGCTCCCTGCAAAGTAGTGCTTTGACTCAATTTATATACAAAATTGTTTCATCAGTGATTAATCCTAAAACTTCTTTTGTTTCTGTATGGGGGAAAATAGGATTTATTTTGCTGCAGGTTTTAAATCTTATGATGTCACAAGACTCAAGTCTAGGGCAGAAACTTGGTTCGAATGGGTGGAAAGGAGCCGTAATCTGATGCGTAGAGCAACCTTCAGCTGGAAATCCATGGAATGGCTATGTTTTGTTCTTCAGGAGGCTTCCAGAGATGCTGGTACACATGTAAGGAAATGGAAATTCAAAGAGCAATATTCAATCCTTTTTGGCTCCCGGAAGAACAACAAGTTTGGAAGATTTATAAGCATTGTTTCAGTCCAAGGCGACAAAAGATCCGTAACTATTATTCCTGAAGTTGCATTAAATTCGGGATGGCATGATATTGCATTAAAGATCAGGAGATTCATTAATGCAGATAGAGGAGCCTTTATGACAAATGGGGCCAGGAAGATAGATCCCAAATATTCATATACAGAGTCTGTCAAAGCCAGCAAATGGCAGACGAAGGAGTCCAATGAAGTTCATATTACAAAGGGCCCTAACAACAAAATTTCGATTTCTGGTGGTGCTGTAAATGATGATGAAGGTCTATTGGGCAGATGTGTTGTTGGTAGCTTCGACGTAGGACTGGCTGAGAAACGTACTCTCACTGATATTCGAAGGTGGTCGGTAAGTTCCTGGAAAAATGCTTTTGGAATCGATGTGTACGAGATGGGTGAATCCAGATTTCTCTTCCAGTTTCCAAACAAACACATGGCGGAACACATTCTTCAAGGAGAATGGAGATGGAAGCAAGCAAAAATCCTTCTAGAATGGTGGTCGTCGACTGCCGGCTGCTGCTCCTTCCAGAAAAAAAGAGAATGGACATGGATTAGAGCCATGGGTCTGCCGTTGCACTTCTGGACTGAAAAAATTTTCAGAGCCATCGGAGATCACTGTGGAGGTTGGCTGGAAACAGAGGAGGAAACTTCTCTTAAAAATCATTTGAAATGGGCGAGAATCAAAATCAAAGGAGATGGGGGTGATGTTCCAAAGGAGGTGACGATATCAGATAAGGGTTTAGATTTTACTATCCCCATTTGGTGTGAATCGCCGACGAGGGTTTCAGCCGGAGAAGATGAAGGGAGGGGGTTTGGTTCAAACCAGTGGGCAAAAGAGCCCTATTCTGACAGAGGTGATAGCCACAGCTGTACTTTAGATAGGGAAGGGCACATGGGAACCTCTATTACTGTGCCCATTTTAAATTGTATAAGTGATCTGGGAAAGGGTGTATGTGGGCCTGAGAATAAGGCCAGGAAGAATATGGGTCATGGACCAGCCCAACAACACTTAAAAAAAGTCAAGGAGCAAGTTAAAAATTTGGGCTCATTTTTATTTAATGAGGCCCAAATTTTACTAATAGCCCAGAACATTATGCCTTCCTCTAATACATTAGACCCAATATTGGTGGAAATAGAGGCAAACACTTATACTCCTGATATTTCTCCAACCTCTGCAGAATCAGTAAACGAAGAGAGAGAAACTGCTCCATCTCAACTTCAGTCACTTAATCAGATGGTCATTCACGAAGAGGCTGATGATTTTGAAGATGCTATGACCAACATTGAAGGTGAGGCCACTCAATTTGAGGCGGGGGAAGATAGAAGCAACATGCAAATGTTTGATACAACAGAGACTAATCTTTGGTCTGTTGAGGAGGCAGAACCTTTAAAGATACATGTGCAAGAAGAGGAGATAGAGGGGGAGATGGATGCATCTTTATGGGTCCATCAAAACATTTTGAAACTTAGCAAGCAATTTGGAGTTGAATTTCAAGGATGCGAAAAGGAAGCTTTGGCCCTATTCATGAAAATTGACAGATGCAGGCAAAATAAGAGACAACAAGCAGAAGTCAGTAACATGGAGATTCCCAAGAGAAAATGCAATAATGAGCTCAAAGGTTTGATCTCTGACATGAAATTCAAAAGCACTGGGGCAAGGAACAGGGGGAAAGAAACCTTAATTGTGGATCCATGAATATCAAGATTATTTCTTGGAATGTGAGGGGATTGAACCGTAGAAAGAAGAGGAGGGTGGTGGGTAGTCTGATTACCAAATGGAAAGCCGATATTTTCTGCTTCCAGGAGACAAAATTAGAAGGAGATATAGAAGAGGTGGTTTACCAACTATGGGGTAACAGGGGAATTAGGTTTATGCAATTGGAGGCTAGTGGTACTAGAGGGGGTATCTTAATGTTATGGGATAGTAGAGTATGGAAGGGGGAGGTGATAACTACAGGCTCTTATTCTCTAACCTGCAGGTTTGAGTCACAAACCCAAGATTTTAGCTGGCATATGACAGGGGTATATGCTCCAAATTGTGATATAGAAAGGCAGAAAGTGTGGTGGGAGATTGGGGCTGTAAGGGGTCTCTTTCTTGGACCCTGGGTGGTTGCCGGAGATTTCAACATAATTAGATTTCCCTCTGAAAAAAGAAATTGCACTAGATTCACTAGAGCAATGATAGAATTTTCAGATTTTATTGAGGATATGGAGCTGATTGACCCTCAGATGGAAGGGGGAAATTACACATGGGCCAGCGGGAGCACACAAGAGACATCCTCTAGAATTGATAGATTTCTCATATCAGTGGAATGGAGTGAGTGTTTCAGGAACATCAGGCAGGAGATTCTTCCTAGAGTTTGCTCAGATCACACCCCTTTAGTCTTGCAATGTGGGAATTGGGAGCAAACTAAATCCTATTTCAAGTTTGAAAATTGGTGGCTGGAGACTGCAGGTTTCACTGCCAGAGTTCAAGATTGGTGGACTTCTCTTGAGATAGAAGGAAGACCCGACTATATCCTTGCCTGCAAACTTAAAGCTCTTAAAGGAAAGCTGAAAGAGTGGAGTCTTAGTAGCTATGGCAATCTGGAGAGGGAGAAAGCTGTTATACTGAATCAAATAACTAAACTGGATGCTATTCAGCAACAAAGGGACCTAAATCAGGAGGAAAGAGCCAAGAAAGCTAGACTCTTCATGGAATTTGAAGAGTATGCCATAAAGGAAGAAATAGCATGGAGGCAAAGATCCAGAGTATTATGGCTCAAACAGGAGACAAGAACACTAAGTTTTTCCAAAAAATCGCTAATGCGCACAAGAGGAACAATACTATTGACAACCTGATAGTGGAAGGGCAGATCATTGAAGAGCCTGAAGCTATTAAAAAAGAGATTACTGACTTTTATCTTAAGTTGTATTCAGAGACTGAGGGTTGGAGACCTACCTGCAGCATGACCAATTGCCCTACAATCTCCGAAGAAGAACAACAAGCTTTGCAGAATCATTTTGAAGAAGAAGAGGTCTTACACTGTTTGAAATTGTGTGCAATAGACAAAGCCCCTGGACCAGATGGGTACACTATGGGATTCTTCATCAAATGCTGGGAGGTGGTGAAGACAGACATCATGGCAACTATTCAGAACTTCCATTCTCAGGAGATGTTTGAGAAAAGCTTTAATGCAACCTATGTGACTCTGATTCCTAAAAAGAATGGAGCAAAGGAGCTAAGAGATTTCAAGCCTATTAGCTTAATAGGAAGCATATACAAGTTGATTTCTAAAATTCTCACTGAAAGACTTAAGAAAGTGATGCACAAACTAGTTGACTCACACCAGATGACTTTCATTAAAGGGAGACAAATCACAGATGCTGTATTGATTGCTAATGAATGTATACACTCTAGGATTAAGGAGAAGGAGCCAGGAATAATGTGCAAGCTAGATATCGAGAAAGCGTATGATCATGTCAACTGGAATTTCCTCCTAGGAATTCTCCACAAGATGGGGTTTGGAAGGAAGTGGATCAGTTAGATGAAATTTTGCATTAGTACTGTTAGGTTCTCTATTTTGATTAATGGATCTCCAGTAGGGTTTTTCCCTTCTCAAAGGGGCTTGAGACAAGGTGACCCCCTTTCACCTTTCCTTTTCATACTAGCTATGGAAGGTTTGAACAATATGTTGAAGACTGCTCACTATAATGGGTGGATTAAGGGATTCAACGTAGCAAATAATCAAGATGAGAGGTTAGAAATAACTCGCTTACAATATGCAGATGATACCCTTATTTTTTGTGGAACAGAAGAGAGTCAAGTAAAGTACCTCAGGATTATCCTCATCCTCTTTGAAGCTGTCTCTGGTCTTCACATTAACTGGAGAAAAAGTCAGATTTTCCCAGTTAATGAGGTGCCTAATATTCAGATGCTGGCAAACATCTTGGGAGGAGAAATAGGCACAACTCCAACTATCTATCTGGGAATGCCTTTGGGAGCAAAAAGCAAATCCAAAGAAATTTGGAATGGAGTTTTGGAAAGATGTGAGAAAAAGCTAGCTAGATGGAAAACACAGTATATCTCTTTGGGAGGTAGACTAGTACTTATTAACTCTGTGCTAGATGCTCTCCCTACCTACATGATGTCTTTATTTCCTCTACCTGCAAGTGTAGAAAATAGATTGGAAACTCTGAGAAGGAACTTTTTATGGCATGGAAATAAAGAAAAAAAAGGATTTCACCTAGTTAACTGGAAGAAGCTGACTATTAGTAAACGAGAAGGTGGATTAGGAATCAAAAACCTTAGGAAGCAGAACAAATGTCTGTTGATGAAGTGGTTATGGAGGTTTCCTAAGGAAGAACAAACACTATGGGGCAAGGTGATAAAGGCAAAATATGGAAAAGAAGGGTTTTGGATGACCAAAGAGGTGAAGAACCCTTATGGAATTAGTCTATGGAGATCAATCCGGAACTTATGGC